TGCATGAGTTCGCGCAGGAGCAGCGCAGGTGCGAGCAGGCATGTGCACAGAACACATATCGCTGTGTATCCACGTAACCCAGCAAGGTCATTGTCGCAAAAAATAGTTATGATCAGAGCCGCGTGTGCGCAATGTGACGAGTTAGCCAAATGAAAGAGAGAAGTAAAAGAAAACATAAATAGATGGTAGGAGTACCTCTTCATAATCGATCGGCAACGACACTTCACTTAATACTGATATATCACGAATTGGCAAGAAAATCAACTTCTTGTAGGATTAGGAGCAGGAGCAGCTGTCGCAGTCGTGCTCCTCGCTCCACGGACGAAAAGGTTGTAATGAGCGAACGACGGCACGAGCGTGGTAGCATCCCGCTACGGCCCACGCAAGTTTCAAGGCGAATGATGTAACCTTGCGTCAGTTGTCGGCTTTACGATTCTTTGGTGCTTCGAACGGGGAATCGGCACGCAAAGAGCACACCCGACCAGAAGATAAACTAAGCTAAATCGACGAAGAACCACCCATCATTCCGACCCCTGACCAGTGCTCCGTGCAGTCCAACTTTTCCGAGTCGTCCGATTCGTCATTCGTAATGTCGACGTCGATGCCGCCGATACTGCGTCATACATTTTATTCTGTTTTTGCGCGCGCGCATCCACCCCACTTACTTTACGATTAACAAAGAACTTACAGAACCGCAAGATTTGCGATTGCTAAGACTCAATGATGCTTGCCCCAGAAAGAATCTGCGTAGCTGATTCTGAAAACTCGGTACTGTTAAAAATATGAGAATACCCTGTTGCTCGCCACTCGTTTTGGAAGCTTTGACAAATGTTGTCTTTACGAGATAATGTGCGATTTTAATGTTCAGTCCATTAGGCCGGCCCACTTCGAGTCATCTAATTGTCAAGTATCATGTCATTTTGTCAGCCCTTATCGAGCGCGTGTTAATAATTCAGCCGTTACATTTATCTATACAGCTTGCTAAACACCCGTTTCAACGACCAACAATCCAATTCGATAATTGCTAAATAAAGATAATAGAGCAATTCTTTCATTGCACGTCTTTCATGCTAAAAACTACTATTCAATTTATGATGGCAACCTCGTACACTATTGCTATTTAGCTATTAAACTAGGCTTATCCCTTTGAAATCCTTCGCTAACTTAAAAATAATCTCAAAATTTTCATTGAGTCCACGTTACTCGTATACATTGATTTTTTTTAATGAATGCAAGATATATGCATGCAGCAGTAGTTTATATATTGTAATTCGCGCGATAAAGCGATAATATTACAAAGGTGGGTTGGCAAAGTGTTCGCCATATTCAAAGATTTGTTATTCGATAAAGTAAAAATAATCTTATTTATTAAACAAGTTTTGAAAATAAATCAATAATTTATCTTTAAAATTTTACCATAAACATTGATAAAATATTATTATCTAGATGCATTAAACTGCCTGCTATAAACAATTGTTTTTTCAAACTATATTTCATTCGACGAGTTATATCTGCTTAAACATTCAACATACTATATACTTAATGATTTAAAGAAAGCTCATCCTCATTCAACGTAAGAATAATACTTTTCTCCTTCGCATTTAATTTTCTCAGCGTATTTTATCATTCTTTATTTCAATGCATCCTGATTTACTTCTATTCTATCTGCTATTTTGTTACTTCCTATTTTAATTACATGTCTCGCCCACCATCGCTCGCGTAATTTAATTATCATCAGTGAATCGAGCATGAAATCGCGATTGCTCAGTTAACAAAAGTTTAGTCTGAAACTTTTTAAAACCAACTTCCTCGTTTCAATAGTTCTGTGTCAAATTTCATTTAACATTTATTTCTTTCTATTAATCGTATTACTGATGAGTTGGATTTTACCTTAAACTATAGATATATTAATTATAAAACTAAAATCTCCATTTTAAATGAAAAATAAAGGACTAAAAATAAAAAAAAAACAGAAAAATAATCTGACAAAATAATATGTGTCTCCAGACGCTCTACAGAAAAAAATAACAAAAAGAAAGGGATAATTTCTAGCATTGATAATGTGAATTCTATTAATTTTTATTTTCTTAAGCTATTAAATATTAAAAATTAATTTCATAGTTTAAATCTTTTTTATATTTTGAAGCTTCAAATAAATATAATATAACATTTTGAATGATATTTATAAAATGATTTTTTAACTGACAGTTTCATATTTTAAATAATGCACTTCCAGCCATATTCCAACCAATATTGTTGTAAAAATGTTAAATTTATTATTTTAACTATAAAATACTAAATTATCAATATAAGATAAAAACATGATATACCTTAAAGTGATATAAAAATAATTAATAAAATTACAAAAACAGTAATTGAAAATTAAATATAATTATAAATATCATCATTAATATAATTCCGTTAATTAAATTACAAAAAATTATATTTTTTCAATCTAAAGGATTTAAACCCTGTAGGAAATGACTTCATTAGTATGTATCAAAACACAAATAGAATTTTTCAGTTTTTAACGATTTATTGATATTTTTATACTCATTATTATAGCGCTTATTAATTATAGAAGGTAAATTAATTGAAGGTGAAAAACCCATAATTACAATATTTATATTTAAATCAGAGTAAGATATTAAAATGTTAATTCCTATGCATTAACCGACCATCGACAAATAATTATTACCAATATTATTGTACGGATAAAATAAAAAAATTTCCGATTTGTTATTATATTATTTTATTAACCCTTTAACAAATTATTGTGTATATATTTATTAGTATTTGTTTTAAAAAAATTTTAAATATTTTTTTTCAAATGGAAGGATCATCTTTTCAAGTACAAAATAAAATTATTAAAGCCTTATATCATGTTATATATTAATTCAATTTATTATATATAATACAAAATTTATTTGAATTAAATAAAGATTCAAGGAATATTAAAAATATTTACAGATGGCTTTATATTTATTATAATGTAAATTATAAGTTTAAAGTATTATTCTATAAATTTTTTTAAACTGTTAAATAAATAAAATATTTTATATTTTAAAACTAAATACTATTGGCTCAGAATAGCAACCTTAAACAGCAAAATTGTTTCGGTCAATGTGACGTAAGAGTTTGTGAAATTGAATTTATGGTAAGTTTCCAAAGTAAATATAGCCACTATTTATTTAACGTTGTTAATAATATATTAAATCATTATCTAGATATTTAAAAATATATATATTAACTTTATTAATTTAAAATTATTGGATGCATGTACATTTAAAATGGCTATGTATACAAATCATTTTGCTATTTTATAATTTTATTAATTTTATCATTTTTATTAACTTTACTTTTGTATTGGATTTTTAAAAATTGTCTAATTATATTATAGTATTTTTATTATTATAGTATTATGATATTATAATGTTATAATATAATATTAAAATATTAAAATACAATTATATTTTATACATATTAAATAATTCATTATACTGCCTTCTATGTGTCTTATTTTTATATTTATTTTATATTATGAATATATTTTCTGGGATATTCATGTACTATCTACATCTAAAGCTGAATAATTATAAAAAATCTGTAAAATGCAAAATATCAATGATTTAAATACATTAAATATTGATATGCTCATATCTCAAACTAAAAATTATTAACGTCTATATTTTTGTGTGTAATAGATGATATATTTTTTGTCTAGAATATTAATTTTGTATGTTATATAATTATTTTTGTTTTGTTATATTTTTTTCCTTAAAATATGTTCTAATATATTTATTTATTTACGTTCATTTAAATTACTGCATTAGTTATATATAACTTTAATTAAACATTAAAATTACTCATAGTTAATATTTACCCATTTAATTCTGAAAGATATGAATTTTACTTATACACTCTCTTTTTTCCAAAATACTAATATAAGTTATTAATTTACACGATAATAGCTTTAATTTATTCTTTTTAAATATCACTTTATTTTAAAATTTTTTTGATTTTATAATATTTTTTATTGAATTCTTTTTATTTATAATAAATACATGTTAAATTAAAAATATATAAATGTAAAATTTATGCAATTATTATGTTAAGTGCTAGGCAGTATATAAAAACTGTATATTATACTAGTAAATACAATTCTTCTTGTGCAATTGTTGAACTTCTAATTAAATTTATAATATTCAACTTTAACATAAAATTTTTATTAACAATATATTTGTATTAACACCCGATAACTGTATAAAATTATGTCTCTCGCGATATTTGTTATAGACTTTATTAATAGCAGTTTTTTGGGAAAATATTAATTTAATTTTTGTTCGGATAATTATTACATTTATTTAATTGTATAAATAATTACACGGTAATTATTTTTTAAATATTATATACATTTCCATACTTGAAAAATTAATATCTTTAATCACAAGGACCAACTTTTAACTTATTTGTTTCTGTTCTACTTATTTTCTCAATAATATTTATATTATATTAAGACGCAAAAAGTAATTGATTTGTCTAAATTTTCTTCGATAAATATGACAATTAATAATTAATTAAATTTTGGAAATTATAATGTTACAAAATTATTAAATTTAACAAAATTATGTTAGGTCTAATTGTGTACATTTTTGTGTTAATGTGAGAGTTAAGAGAATTTTAATGAATTATCTGTTATGAAATTAAATAGTTATGTAACGTGTTTGGTAAAAATATTTTTTTACTTATGTTGAATTAATATAAATTGATTGTTTGAATTTATGCTTTAAATTTATGAATTTAAAGATAATTGAATTAGTGTTTTAATTTAAAAATATATTTTTATGGACTGCAATTATATAATACATTATGAAATTCTATAAAATAAACATTTTTTCTTTTATTTTGACCTTCAGATTTTTGTATAATTCTGCATAATTATGATTGTTTATTATAAAATTCTGTCTTTTCTGTTTTTTTATTATTCATTTATTTTAACAGAAATATACTATAAATTATTAAATATTTGTTTGAAATTGAATTTTTTTAATTTTTGCTTTTCAAATTTTCAAATTTAGATAATTAAAACATATTTTTTGATACATTAAAAATATTTTTATGATCTTTTTCATCTCTTCGCATTTTGCATTTTGTAAATCATAGAAAATCTTTTAAGAACTTTCAGTTGGGATTGAATGAAACATGTACATGTACTTGGCTGATTTAACATATACCTCCTAGGAAAATATATATTATGGTTATGACAAAGTTCTTATATATTTTATATTATATCGAAAATATTTATATATTTTTTTTTCAGTATACATTCATCTTACTATGCAGTCAAAGCAATTCGAGGTATTTAACTTTTTTTAATTAGAATAAAAAGACAAATTAGGTTTACGTATCTATTTCATTTATCTCTCAACAGTACAATATGACTAGCATATTTATTTGCGTAGCTGAAGTTTAGTTATAAAATATTCATTCAAAATAAGAGCATTGACTTAGACATTATATATACCACCAACGTATTGTCAATATTGTGTACATCGTCAATATATTATAAGACCATGATGACATGCGTTTGAATATCTAATGCATACTTATTCTTAATGGCTGTATGCCCCTGCCTCTGTAATTAAATC